AAGAGCAAAGCTAATTACAATTGTATCTTCTCACCTACCATGCTATAATTAAAACGTGGGAGCATGTGCTGTGTATATAGAAAGCTCTTCAGCTAGGTATAAACCTCTACAGGCTGCAAAAGCAGCAAGACTTCACATCTTTAGGGGGGAAATGGCTGTTTCTTTTGACTTGTTGGCTCAACAGACAGAACTTCTTGTCCAATTCTCCTTGGAAAGAATTTGATAAGGGGAGGGCAACTCTCAAGGTAAGACTACTCTGCAACAAGATACTGGAAATCTACTACTTGACAGAGTGGCTGTTTCAGACAAAACTCCATTTTAAGTTTGTATTGTATAAAAGCAATTGTACAGTAATGTTTGTTTCAATATGTTGCAGGTTTGACCAGTCTCAAGTGGTCTGTAAACTGAGATGCTGATTTACACTCAAATTACCTTTTGGATGCTGTTCTTGCAAACATGAAGGGGCAAAATTTGGGGAATGTGGGTCCATGGTATGGGAAATTCACCTCTGTAGGCCTGTGAGAACCTAAACTCTAACCTTAGTGTTGAGGAACCTGTAGTGGAAGATGGAACAGAGGGCTTGAGAAAATACCTGCATTAATTGGCAAAAGGCTGATTGAGCCCTTATGGTTGCTCTGTGCTTAAAGTTTTACTATCAGCCCCTTTCTGTGCAGTTATATCCCAGAAAGACCTTTTGCTTACATAGCTTGTTTTGTACAGGGAACTGGTTTAAGTTATGGAGCAAAAATAACTGTTGGTATAAGCAGGCAATACCTTTCTAGTCTAGACAAGGCCTGTGGGTGCCTGGGTCACTTACAGCTGGTACATTCCTCAGTGGATGCTTCTAGGGCAGAGCATCAGCTGCAGACCTTATACCTCTAGCTGCAATCACAGGAGACCCTAGCTTCTCTTCACACACCCACACCCCAAAAATAAAGGGAAGTGGCGTATGACTACACTAACCCTTATGAGGAACTGGACTTTGTTTCCAGATGCTGCATCATTTATCATTATAAACTTGCTACTACACAACAGCAGTTGAGCAATCCACCCACTTTGACAGCCTTTCCTCTTTGCTTTTCACTGTTCTATAATAGTTGGCAAAAGCTGCTGACTACAGTTCCCACTAGTGGGGGGAGAAGAACCCTTAAAGTTTGAGGGTGATCAGTGAAAACATACCTCTAGAACAGGAGCCTCTAAGTGGTGCTCTTGAGGGTTTGTTTGGGTTTTTTTGCACATACCTACAGAGTAGATCATGGACACCTACACAGTGCTGCAGTAGTTTCTCTGGAATTTGGACCTTACCAAAAAATAGACTACCCCTGGCCTAAGGGGTGTGAATAGCAGTGCTCCCCCAACTGCTGCACTAACACCCCCACCGCACAAACAATGGAGGTATGAATCTGAAGGTCACTTTAAGTTCACATCTTTAGCACTCACAGGGGGAGTTACAGTTCAGCACTTTAGTGAGCACTGCTAGTCATACAAGCTTTAGGTTACACTGCAGTGCTCACTAGTACTATGCTCAAATCCCCCCCTGTGGATACTAAAGATGTGAACTTAGGGGGACCTTTAAGTTGCCCCTGTGCAAACAATACAGACATGTTTACACTGCAGCACTGGCTAAGCATGCTTTTTTTTTAAATGAAGGATTAGTTCTGCCTTCACAGCAGTAGGTAGGATGAACAAGAAGTTAACCTGCCTTTTTGCCATTCACCTTACTACTTTTGCTTCTTTTAAAAATTCAGACTGGAGGCCAAAATTACCTAGTCTGACCTCCTAGAAAAGATTATAGCCTGTATTAAGTAGCACTACTTTAAAGCAATGACTGATTTTGCCATTGTTCTACATTATGAATTTTCTATTTCTGGGGCTTCCACAGGTGGGAGGTGCAGTAAAGCTGCTCCTCCCCACACTGTATTCAAAAGTTAAGCATTCTTTCCTCTGGCTATTCATTGTAGAATGTGAGTGACAGCATCTTGTTTTATTCCATATTGAACTGGTATTTTTTTGTTGAAGATATTTCTTCCCCAACCAAGACAACAGCACTGGGATATTTCTCCTTGTATAACACTAGTTTTCCCCACAGACTAAGAGCTGGTGAGCCAAGGGAAATGCAACTAAGACTACTTGTTTGCACTGCCTCGATAAAGCAACAGCTACTACTAGTTAGGGAAAGAGTACATTACACTTTTTTAAAAAAGTTTCCACACCAGAATATTCAATAAAAGTTTTATTGTGCAAACCCTTTACATGAATTCAAGTTTAGTCAGTCTCGCCCCCCCCCCAAAAAACAAACACAGTAAATGTTATGAAGCCCTAAGGAAGTATTAATTGATCTCACACTTTATACATCAATGATTCAAATTTCAAGCTGGCATGTGTAGATCACTGGTATAGGATCAGGACTGGAAACAAATTAGGATAATGTAAACTTCCTCACATCAATATATCCTTACTGCTTTGAAGTCCAGGGGATCTGAGTAAATTTTATGATTACCATTTTAGATCTGAGTAGTGATGATTTAAAAACAAGCTTGAATTAAGACTTATCACCAACAAGAAGAACTGTGATTAAGTTTTAAGTGTCAATTTTAGAAGTCCAAATAGAAAGCAACATATAGTGGGACTCTGATTCCTTAAGATTAAACATGCACAACTGGGCCATAACTGAGTAAGGATTCCTGCACGACAATCATAATGCAAACCCCATCTGCAGAGAGATTTAAGGAAGTGTATTCCAGAGAATCACTCAGAGCAGGATACGCATTTAACATTTTCAACTTGAAATCAAGTTGCTCCAACATCTGAAGTCTATTGAGACCATCTGATTATTTCCTATTTGCTCTTTAGTACTTCACCATTCACTCAAAGCTAATTACATAAGGCCAATTTCCACCTACAGAGCTCAGACTAGAAACAAAGAGGGCAACTTCACAGTTCAACTGAATTACTACATGGGCCCTAAAGAACAAAAC